ACTTGCTACCAGGGAATAATCTCGTTGACTTAGAATATGCAGACGATATAGTCCTTCTAGGCGAGGACGCTGACAAAATGCAGAGTCTTCTGAACACCTTGAGCAGCAATCTTCGTATGTTTGGCATGCGATTCGCCCCTGTAAAATGTAAGATGCTGCTACAGGACTGGACTGCCTCTAACGCTAGCTTAGTGATAGGGAGTGAAGTGATAGAACATGTTGACCACTTCACCTATTTGGGAATTTGTATCAGCAACAACGGGTTGATCTCTGACCAAATCTCAGCACGGATACAGAGGGCTAGTTTCGCATATGCCACTTTACACCATCTCTGGCATACATGTGATACCCAATTGACTGTCGATGTAAAGACGTGTGTACTGCTCAGCAGTTCGTTCCGTCCTCCTTTATGGCTGTGAGACCTGGCCATTGAGAGCAGAAGACATGAAAAGATTAGCTGTCTTTGATCATAGGTGTCTGCGTCCTATCTCCCGCGTGAAGTGGTATAATAAGGTGAGCAATATTGAGGTTAGGCTTCAGTCGAGTGCTAGGTAAGGCGGGGAAATCGGTCGACGAGACTGTGAAATTATATCGACTGAGATGGTCAGGACATGTGTTACGTATGCCTAGTCATCGCCTTCCTCGACGACGGGCAATGTTAGCTGATATAGGGCAGGTTGGAAAAGAGCTAGCGGCGGTCAAACGAAAACATGGCACCAGTCAATGAAATCCACAACAGTTAGTCTAAGCCAGCCACGTAGAAAGGTGTAGACTTCCTGACTGGTTGGGGTCCTCGGGACGGTAAAAACCAATGGCTGGAGACAATTTGGTGACATGGCTCAAAATCGTTCTCAATGGCTGGTGCAGATGCATCCACTCCTGTGACTTATGATTTCCAATGAAACTGTTTTGTTCTTCATTATTACTATTCCTTTGTCTCACACCTCTGTTTACTGTCTATATTATGCATTTCTCCTACTTTCTTCTCTTGGTTTGTGTGCTACATGGAGTGTGGTGACTTGAACTGCTGCACATATGTGCGAAGTTCTATATCAAAAACCGACCGAACCGACCGACCGATTTATTATTAACGATTATTCGTTCATTCCATTTGTTCTGAGTGGAACATAAGACTTGGGAAGCACAACTCCATTTCACTCGGTTTTGTTGTTGTGACATTCAACTGGCTTCACAACCACCTCTACAAGCTTTTATTCCCTCCTTCTCTTCCCGACATACTGACATCCATGTCTGCTTCAAACCCACACCGGAAAAATAGTCTCCCGTTTTAGTTCTAATCGATGGCCAACCAGCCAGGTGTGTGTGATATCACTTGAAGGTTTCCTCTGATAAAGTGTCCAATACATCTCTATTTTCAAGTTTAACCAAAGACTGATTTCCGTTAGAGAACCAATGAAAACCAGAGAGTACTGGACAATTATTTCGTCCTTGTTTGAGACTCATCGGCAGTACGCACCCAGCAGGGTTCGAACCTTTTCCGGTCGCAAATCAAGCTCCTAGACCATTCAGCCACTGGGAGGGAACTCAATGACCAACCCATGAATTCTGACTTAGCGCGATCACCAACCAATGGTATCAGAGAGTATTTGCCGTCATTGTCGGCCTGATGGACCTCAATGATCACGACTTCTCACTGGAACTCTTAGCAATCTTGTCCTTTATCCAGACAGATTAATTTTCAAGAGTTAGAGATTGTAGAGATTTGATTTGTTCTAACTAATTTGTCCTCCTAACTGACATCAATCTGTGGTCAAAATTTGAGACAAGTCAAATCCCTACAAACTAACTCTCGAACATCTCTATATTTTTTTATTTTATGTTGCATAGGATTACAGTAAAAAAAGTAAATTTCGACTGAAAGCCACAAAACAGCTGAACATTAGTCGGAAGCGCGTATTCTATGGCAATATTCTCAGTCGGACAACCAAATAGGAAACTTTATCGGTGGAAATCATTGAGTATCAAAGGCTATTATTAAACATAACAATGATTACTCTCCCCAGTAACCAAGCACTGTATCTAGTCCAGTTCAACGATGTGATCAATTACAACCTGGAAGTCTCCTTAGTATCATCACTAGGTAAAGAAGATTCGACTGTCGTTTAGAAGTTAGTTACAATAGGTTTGAAACTTGAAACCTACAACTCCCGGAATCTAACAACAACAAAAGATACATCCTTTTAACATAGAAGAAAGACTTTTAAGAGGCTGGAAACTAGTCTCTTCAAAATTAGATAAAAAGCAACAGAAAATCTGATGAAATCAATCTACTTCTCCGTAGTGTTCCAGGAGCATAAGATAGCTTGATAGGCAAATTAAGATATGAAATCATGATGACCAGCAAGCAAATCAAGGAAACGCCAGTAAGGGAAGTCAATCAGTGAGGTAGTGGAGCGCCATCCAGTTGGGATGCTGGGAGCATGACTTAAGTGGACTTAATCACCGTGTTCCTAGGCGAATAATGTTACTCGACATCTAATTCATTCTGTAAAGCAAAAATTTAAATGTGGTCAGAAGTAAACATAACGTCCAACTATGAGGTCTGTAGGTCGTTTTAGTTTAAGCCACGTAGACAGGTGAAGAGAATTCTAGCTGAAGTCTTTGGCATGCTAAGAATCAACAGATACAAACTTTGTTAACAACAACAATTCTGAGTGCACCGTGATGACGGGTCTCCTACATAGTGGCCACATTGCAAACTTGACTGACTGATAGAATTCAGTCTGCACCAAACAAAGGAGTAGACGCATGATACCAGTTAGTGTCCAACAAAAGTATCCAATATAGTTCTAACGGAGGTCAATCACCAGCCCGAATAGCTCAGTAATGACTTCTCTCTGACTGCAGCACTGAGTGACACAGTTTCGAGTATCAGAAGGGACATGACTTCCTTCGCGACTGCAGTTACGCCTTGATGACGATTACGGACAAACAGGAAACTGAAGTGTGGGGGGCTTCCTGCCGACCACTTCTAAACATTTAATAACAGATGTAGACTCTTTATACCATGACTCAAAATCGTTCATAGCAGTGCAACTGGATTCAGTTCTCGTCATGATCCAGCTTCTGAAAGGTTTCAGTAATCTTCACTTAATTACTGTCCTTCACGTACGTCTTCATCTAGTGTAGTTTTTCATTACAACACCTCTTTGCTTTACTTTGTGTTGCACCTTTTTGAAATGTGATCACTTCAAGTAATTCACTTTTGTCCAGGCCTCGACGTTCTTAGGTTAGCCATTATCATTATTATTATTATTATTATTATTATTATTATTTTAAACGGCGTTGATTTGAGCTTTAGTATTACTGATAGGCCAAGATACGCCTATCGGTAACTTATTACAGTACAGTGATGCATACGTCCGTAACAAAGTTTACATAAGGAAACAGTTGCTTGCTCTAAATACGGATTTTCGCTACCAAACTTCTGTGCCATTTAATCACTGCAATGCATTACACAATCAACAGGAATGACTTGAATCCCATTTTTTGAAAACCTAATACCACGTGGAAAAGGAAAAGTGAACATCTACAGAAGACTAAAACACAAGGTGTGATAAGCGCAAGAATATTGCGACACCCCATCCCCATATGTATGTATGTGAAACATCACTTAGTATAGATAATCCTGGATTAATGTACGTACTATAAATAATGCTGGCTGGCTGGATTCAACATAGAACTTCGCACCGAAGTGCAGCAGTTCAACTTGCCACCTTCCAAATAGCACACAAAGGTAGACAAGAAAATGAGTGATGAAGAGAATCAATAGAGTTTTGACAAGTATAAGAGTGAAACAGAATGAGTAATGGTAGAAAGGAATATGAAAGATTACTGAGACTGAATACATCTGCATAAGCCATTGACAACGATTTTGAGCCATGTCACCTATTGTCTCCCAGATTCTTAGAGTCCCGAGGGCCCCAACCCGGAAGTCTGCATCTCCCTCCTACCTGACTCAGTTTAACTGTCAGGGATTTCATGGATTGATGAGGCCATGTTTTTGTTTGGCCACCACTTACTCTTTTCCAATCTGCACCTATATCAGCTAGTAATGCCCGTCGGGGGAGACGATGGTCAGGCATGCGCAGCACGTGGCCTAACCATCTCAATCTATGTAACTTCATAGCCTCTTCGAGTGATTTTCCCTCCTTGCCCAACACTCTACGCCTAACGTCAACATTACTTACCTTATTATACCACCTAACGCGAGAAAGAGATCGTAAACATCTGTGGTCAAAAACAGACAATCTCTTCATGTCTTCCGCTCTCAATGGCCACGTCTCACCACCATAGAGAAGGACGGAGCGAACTTCTGAGCAGTACACACGTCCCTTGGTTGATAGCGGTATGTCACGCCTACGCCAGAGATGGTGTAAGTTAGCGAAAGTAGCTCGAGCTTTTTGGATCCGTGCTGAGATTTCGTCGCCAATCAATCCGTTGGTGCTGATACAACTCCTCAAATAGGTGAAGTGGTCAACATGTTCTATCACTTCACTCCCTATCACTAAGCTAGGATAAGGCGTAGTCCAGTCCTGTAGGAGCATCTCTCATTTTACGGGGACGAATCGCATGCCAAACATACGAAGATTGCTGCTCAAGGTGTTCAGAAGACTCTGCATTTTGTCATACATGGTTAATACATGGTTTAATGCTAGAATGCTCACTAGAAACGTGGGAGCTCAGGGTCCGACCCCACACCGACACACTTTGACTAGCCGGGCTTCAAGCTAGAGAACTTTGAAGTTTCGGTAGCAATAGTTCTACTTTAACGAAGTGGGGTTGCTAGCCTCGCGCCTAACCTTCTCTCTTTACAAGCTTAACGAAGTTTAGGAGTGTGTTGGGGCCAGGAATCGAACCCCGGAGCATTTACGTGGTTAGCGAGCGTTCTATTGATGAACCATCGACAAACCTGTATCGGAAACATTAATTAAAAAACCAATAAACACATACATGATACACTAGTAATTTACACCTACCTGAAGATTTATCATATCCATCATCATCATCATTGCCACCGCCACCAACACGACTACGAGAAACGATACCATTAGTAGATGAGGAAGAATATGATACAAAGTGATTTGATTTGTTATTATTATTATTATTATCAGAATGATTCTCATCATTTTCAGTACCATTCATGTTATATTCTTCTTCGTCGATTTCTTTACCGGTCTGATTTATTGATGAATCCACTTCTTCATAAGCAGTATCACTATACAATATTCTAATTAAATGTGTTAATATTTGACGTGTACACTGAGCTACATGTGTATTTGTAAGTTGAGGTGATTGTGAAACATTAGGTATATATTGTTGAATAGTATTATTATTATTAGCTAACCAGTTTGTATCGGATTTCGCCAGCCAATTCGATAAAAAGGCATGAAATGCCTGAATTTCTGATTGATTCATATTCTCAGTGAAATTTGCTTCTGGATGATGCCAAATCAATAAACTGAGCAGAGCTTCAATGACATCTTTACGACTATTGACAATTAACTGTTTCGACTGGTATTCATAAGAATTATTATTATTACTATTATTACTATTGTGGTTAATTAGTTGATTTGATCTATACCCAGAAGGTGTGATATTTGAAAATTGATACTGAGAAGAGGGAGTTGTAGTAGACAATTGACCATACACAGGAATTCCACCAGTTTGATGTTGTTGATACTGTGGTTGTTGATAAGGATGTTGACTTTGACGTTGTGTTATAGGCTGTTTTCCGACTGGTATATTCGTCGTCGTAGATGATGAATAATCATTTAACCGACTGGCACCACCAGATTCATGATCTTAAAATGCAGAAAGAATAATACAATAAATAATTTTTGAAAAAAAAAATGATTTTTAGCTTATGGAACTACTCTGCTGAATACCAGACTAATATTGAAATTCATCCTTAGACAGGGGGGCATCATTAACTTAGAATTGATGAAACATAACAGTTTAATACTCCCACTTTCAATTTGTAGAACACTGAACAGTTGCAAACATTGAAAAGTGAAAGTTGCGCGACATTGCACGATACTATATATATACTACTGATACATTAATATGAGTAGATGGATACCACAATTCACATCAACGAGTAGTGCTCGCTAGCCAGCCAGATCGAAGTGACTAAACAATGGGCAGATGCTTCACCCGTCTGGGGTCGCACTAACTCATCAGCCATGTAGGTGATTTGACTCTTTTGAGACAGCAATGGGAGATATCCAACTGCTTACATCAATCAAGCATTTGCCATTTATGCTGTCAACCAGATCATGTCACATATTATGACCCAAATAATTTCGGTAGTTACTGAATTGATTATAAAGTGACAGTTACACATCAGTTATTCCCAACACAGGTAGATAAAACACTTGCGTGGAAATAAGTGTCTAAGTCAGTACCCAAGTCTTATCTTTTGTGCGTCGGTGGCACCGCAAGTACAGTTAGCGAGTGTTTTATCATTGAACCAACGACTCAAGCCAGGTCTCTTTTCCTCGGCTAGTGTTTCGTTTGTGATGATATTAGATGGTGGGAGGCAATCGGCAGGAAACCTTGGACCTAGGTTTCGTGCTAGTTGGCACTCGTCAGCAAGGCATATCTGCAACCTTGAAGGAACTCATGTCCCTTCTGAGATTCGAACCAGCGTCACCCAGTGCTGCAGAATTCAGTCTGCACCAAAGAGAGGACTAGACGCATCACACTAGTTACTAGTGTCAAGTCAAAATATCCACTACAGTCCTACAGGAGGTCAATCGCTGGCCTGAATATCTCAGTGGTAACGTCTCTGACTGCAGCACTGGGTGATGCGGGTTCGAATCTCAGAAGGGACATGAGTTCCTTCAAGGTTGTACATACACCTTACTGACGAGTGCCAACTAGCACGAAACCTAGGTCCAAGGTTTCCTGCCGATTGCCTCCCACCATCTAATATCATCACAAACAATGTACACCGTGATGGCCAGCAACCTAGAATGGTGGCCACATTAAAACCTGACTGATAGAATTCATTCTGCATCAAAGAGAGGACTAGACGCATCACACTAGTTACTAGTGTCAAATCAAAAGTGTTTCGTTTATCTAGTAAACCATAGACATAGTAAATCTGGGACAAACATCCTATATATTACAAGCCGATATCGGTGAAAGAATCAGCAAAACTAGAAAATACTGAACATCTTTTTTTTCCAAGTTGTGAACTCTTCTTGCTCAGTAAGAATAATTAACCACTACCTCACCGGGGATCAAACTTAGAACTACCCTGAAGTTATGTGGTGAACCCCTTGACCATTCATTCAACAAACGAGTTTGATTGAATTCAATGACTCACGAATTCTAACCTCTATCAATTTATGATATAGCAGTGTTATTAATCAATACCATAGATACGCATCTCCTTCACATACGACATTAACTTCTGTACACACAAAATTCAGGCTGCATGTGATCAATTCAAAGTGCTCCCTATCGTTACTAACAACTTTAAATTAGAATTATAAGAAATATAATTGACGAATAATCATTGACGCGGACTGTGTGATCAGACATTAATGTATCTTTCAGGATGAATACTACTCGATTTCTATTCAGATCAGATTAGATGTATTCGAACTTTCCAAGCAATTTCATAACCACTTATCTTGTATTCTATAGTGAACTCCTTCTTAAACATACTGCACTACCTAAATCATTAACATTGGCTTACTTTTTTGTACTTTACTCTATTCCTTCTTTTGTGTATCTACTGGTTCCGACTATATTAGCACTATGAGTAGTACGAAATTTTCCTGTCATTAACCATCATATAATTATTAGTTTTGTGGTTGTTTTTTTCTTATTTTTTATTTTTTTTCAGCAAATTAACTGACAATCATTGGTTGTGAACGCCATTATCACCACCTTAAAAATTTGTATTATGCAGGATTACTCACACTACCACTACAAACACTGCATTAGACCTGACAATAAAAAAACAAATTAACAACCCTGAAATGTTATTTTATGATTGTTTAGTGTTGTTTCAACCAAATTAACTGATCATCTTGGCGATAAACATTCTTAAATATCATTTCATAACTTCTTGTATGACTGTAGCTTTACTGTCACCATGCATAATCATATCATAGCTTCCACTACCCAATACTGAGTTATTATTATATGCTGTTTATTTTCCTTTCTACTTCTTGGTATTTTCCGCAATTTTTAAAAATTATTTTGTGTTTTTCCTGTTTTTTTTGCTGTTGGTGTCTTTATGTTTATTTTTTTGAAATACTCCTTTTAAATGTTGGATAAAATTAGATGCAAATATTGTAGATATGTGCTGAAAATTCCACACTATACCACTAATACTGTTTCTGGAACGAAGCAAATTATTATTAATAAAAATATCCTCTTTTTGACGACATTGGAATATGCTGCTAGTTCTGCTTAGGTGTGTCCTACAAATGGAAGTGAACGTGTAGATACACTGTGAAGTACTGACTGGAAAGCTTTGTATATTTATGGAGGTGTGTGGGCAGTTATTACCTCCCGGTTGTCCACACCGTGGAAGTTTTCTTCTTGAAGTATTTGAAACAGGAGGAGCATTAGCGATGCGTAACCGTACAGCTCCTCCGGGACAACTGCTTGAATCAAGTTTCACACGGCTTGCCTGAAACGGCTGTGTGTCTGTATTGAGATCTTAACTAACTCCGGCTACAAACCACCGCAAGTTAAGTCGAGATGTACAATTTCCAGGTCAACCTTTCCTAGCTCCCTTCTCCAGAGTGAAGAGATACCATACCTGGCAAGCCAGTCGGACTGAGGGAAACACCTTACTGCTGTTATATCCTTATTCGTCAGCAGTACGACTCCACCTACAGACCCCCCGCCCCAACATAGTGTAAACGATTTACATTGTGATGATAACTGCTTTTGGTGCAACCGCTATCCAAACGAATTTTATGGCACAGTAAATTCTGCAGGGAAATTTGTTGCAGTCAGTGTAGCTCGTCGGGTCGTTGCGATATGCACGCAAGAGCACGACTTTAGTAGTAGTGTAACGACAGAAGGCAAGAGTCAGGCAACAGATCACCTATTAAGGAAATCAACTATTATATATTTCATGTACATTACTATGGATATTTAAGTAAACAAACACAGTTTTCGATTGGTTGTTTTCACTTAAAGTTAATCTTTCATCTATTTGTGACTGTTTCTTGAATGTCAAATCCTCTATATGTTAACTGCATCCGCCTACGCAAAGTCTGCTGTGGTCGGTTTTGAATCAATCTTTGTTCACATTTTCTCACGACAAATCTTGGGAACGTAAATATTGACGTAAATTACTGTCTACCAATTTGGCTAGTAGACAGCTCTCACCACAGTAGTAGTAGTAGTAGTTACCGGCCACATTATACTTAGCCTGGTGGAGATATGGTTTGAGCACTCAACTTTCAACCAATGAGTCGAAGGTGCGGACTCCTCTCCACCTTCCTCACAGCCTGAGAACAACTGAGTAGTATCATTAGCCTGAAACCCCTGCGCTCTCCAAGTGACTACGTTTAAACAATATAATGAAAATAGTACACAAAAAAATAAGCACAAAACTAACTTGGTATATGGTAGTTCAGGTGTTGATTTGCCTGTGGATAACCATTCATGAGTGGCGTATACGGAGTATTACTATTAGTATAACCAATAGTGGGATTATGCATTTGATGAGCAATACAAGAATGTTGTTGCTGCTGTTGTTGTTGTTGTTGAGTTGAATAATTCACATTGCCAGCAGTAGTCGAATCAGATGAACAGGTGGTCATTTTCATTTGTGCACCAGATGCCAGCGATGATGCTGATGACACAGATGGTGATGGTGATGGCGATGGTGATTCACGAGCATACTTACCTAACCAATGTTGATTTGTTGTACAATCATCAACTGTAGTGGAAGTAACAGCAATTGTTTTACCACTAGTCCAACTACCACTTCTAGGCGGTGGAGGCGGAGGACGAGGACGTTTTGATGTTTGGTTCATATTAGAATCCCTTTGGTTGTTTTGTTTTTTGGTAAAAAGAAAGAAAAGAAATACGTTTACTTCTGTTTATTTCAAGTGTTATCCTAAATCCTATTTACATTTCATATTTTTTTTCCTTCACGTTCCCCAGTGGAACATAGGGCTTCAAGCTAGTGGCTTGAAGTTTCTGTAGCAGTGTTTGTTTTACAGGATGAGGTTGCCAGCCTCATGCCCAACCTTTCCTCTTTACCAGCATTATTTCAGGCTTAGCGAGGTGAAGGAGTGCGTCGGCCGGGGATTAAACCCCGGACCATGTGCATGGTCGGCGAGCGTCCTAACCGCTATGCCACCGACGCCTTCCTGAAGGTCCCGTTGGCTATTTTTTAGTTTCAGAGAGCGATGCAAAACCTATTGGATCACGTTATGATATTCAAATAGCTATTTTTGGACATACATTCCAAGAAAAAATTAAGCAGCTAAAGTACTTTATTGTTGGTTCAGGTGCAATCGGGTGTCAGTTACTGAAGAACTTTGCGTTAATCGGAGTTGGCGCTAGAAAATCCGGAAAAATTATTGTTACAGACATGGATCTCATTGAAAGGTCAAACCTTAATAGACAATTTTTGTTTCGTCCGTGGGACATCCATAAGATGAAATCTGTTGTTGCCTCCACAGCTGTCAAGGCCATAAACCCAGAGCTCAATATTGAATCTCATGAAAATCGTGTTGGACCAGAAACGGAAAACATATACGATGATGCCTTATTCGAAAGTTTAGATGGCGTTGCTAATGCGCTTGATAATATAGAGGCGCGCACATATGTTGACCGTCGTTGTGTGTATTACCGGTATCTGGAACCCTAGGGACAAAGGGAAATGTACAAGTTTTTATTCCCTACTTAACAGAATCCTACTCATCTTCGCAAGATCCGCCTGAAAAATCATTCCCTGCTTGCACTTTGAAAAACTTCCCATATCTTATTGAACATACTCTACAATGGGCACGCGATTTATTTGAGGGCGTTTTCGTCCATCAATCCCAAGCCTTCATAACTTCTTGGGCCGCAAAACTACCTATGACAGACTGGATTGGTAAACATCAATTCATATTAAATTAATGCCCTCAAAATACCAGAAAGGATAAGAAAGTAACAAGAGACTCTGAAGTGCAACTCATTAACTAAGAACCTCTCATTCACAACAAATATGCAGAAAGAAGTGGAGATGAATTGGACACAAACTGGAAAGAACTTTAAGTGATATCACATGCCAGGTAACCTCTCGAGATGAAACCCAATAGGCAACGAGGAGTTGGTTGGAGGTCCGATGGAGGTGACCGTGTGAGGAGTATGAAATCAAAGCTTATGAGCAATCGTGGAGCGAGCTAATAAAAAAGACTAAAGAGAACACGATGAAATGGAAATGTGTTGCTGAAGACTTAAGTTGCACTCAGAACCCCAGGGAATAATAATAATTATTATTATAATAAATACCTAAGATTAGCACGGTATTACTTATATCCTATGAGATTTCGAGAGTAACTTAGTGGCTGATGGTGAGACTATCTGAGATAAGACTGTTTTTGGCGTAATGGATGGTGACTAAAAGGTGACATGGAAATCTCATTTGCAGCAGGATTCAAACTACTACTGGCCATTTGAATAACTAATCCCACTCTTTACTAACTATCCCCATCGATAAACAGCCCATCAATCTCAAGTTTATATAAGATAGTCCCACTATCAATCTAACAACCATTGTCAATGTTAGTGAACATTGAATGTTTGTTTATTTGAAATGGTTTCCATTTGGCGGGAGACAACAATGGCTAACGTTGCTTAGTCGTATGCTGGTTGGCAGAGGACTGAAGAAAATATGAACAGAAGTACTTATTGTATATTTTATTAACGTTTGTTTACAGACTTTCCACGTAGTAACTTGTAATTCTGTTTCGTTGTCGGTGTAAGAATAAACAATCGTATTATCCAACCGTTTTCTGTTGTTCTGAGTTGGTTCCACAGTATTCTTCTGAAACAAAAGATAAGTTGAGGATCTGTGCGATGTGAGCAACTGACAACTTTCTCTCCTCCTCCTTCTTCTCATTCAATAACATGAATAACATTGACAAGATAAGACCTAACTAGGTAGCTAGTGTGGTTGGTAATGATGATGGCGATAAATGAAAAGTAACATGACATTGATTCAAACATGGCAGTTGAAAATTACCCATCATGGTAAGTGACTGCAGTCAAACGATATCCTGGTTAGGTTATGTAACTCAGCTGGTAGAGAGTCGGGATAGCAAGTAATTCAGAGGCCACTGATTGGATTTGCATATAGAGTGAATCCATCTGCGCCACTTGTCAACGATTCCAAGCCATGTCACTACCTGTCTCTAGTCATTGATTTTTCACGTCTCGAGGACACCAACTACACAATCTACACCTCTTAGCATGACAGGCTCAAACCAGCGATCAAAGGCTTCATGAATTGATGCCAGGTTATGCCTAACACTAATATTACTCAGTATAGGATCCCACTTAGCACGGGAGATAGAACGCAAACGGCTGTAAACAGATATATACCTAGCCTTTTTATGTACTCCCCCAAAAGCATATGCAGCATTGGAAGAACAGATATAAATAGTTGTTGTTAGCATTCCTGAACACATTGCAGGGAATCTGAGACTAGAAGGATCATGGGAGTTAAACCCTGTGACTGTATGTCATCTAGTAGACAGTAGACATACTGTGAACAACCTGAAGTCAAAATAATTAACGTAGGAAAGAAACACAGTTTACATATATGGGTATTTATGTGATACAAAAAGTTCATACTATACTTCCATTGAAGGATTAATCACCATCAACGAGAGAAATCTATGGGGAAAACATCTCTTTTACTTATCTAATTAGCATCGTCACAACTACAGGCAGCAGAGATAAAGATGTCAAAGACAGCCGGGATCTGAAATGCATGCCAGACCTTCATTAATCTGAAATCAGTGTGGAATTCTGCGACACTTAATATAAACGACAAAATTCGGATTTCCAATACTAATGTACAGTCTCTATCAGTCTTTTTGTATGATTCAGAGACTTGATGTGTGTAAGTCACCAAAAGCATTTCGAACAGCCTGTTGCAAACTTTCATCAACAGATGCCTTCACTCCACACTGAAGATCAAATGGTCAGAAAGAAAGATAAGTAACAAATAACTCTGGGAGTGGACCAATGAAGAACCTATTGTTCAATAAATATGCAGGAGGAAACAGATATGGATCAGACACACGCTGAGGAGACCATCGAGTGGCATCACGTGACATGCCGGGTGTCGAGTGGAAACCGACGGGGAAACGAAGAGTTAGGCCTCCAAAAGTGACATCAAAGGGATGGAAACTTATGGGTAATCGTGAAGCCAGCTAAAGAGGAATTCAGAGAACAGGATGCAATAGATATGTGTTTCTGAAGCCCTACATTTCATTCGGTGTGCGTCGGTAGCACAGCGGTTAAGACGCTCGCCAACCATGCATATGGTCCGGGGTTCGATCCCCGCCCGACGCGCTCCTTTACCTCGCTAAGCCAGAAATAAAGCTGGTAAAGAGGAAAGGTTGGGAATGAGGCTAGCAACCCGATCCTGTAAAAATAAACACTGCTACAGAAACTTCAAGCCTCTAACTTGAAGCCCTATGTTCCACAGGGAACGCGAAGGAATAAAAAAAGAACATTTCATTCGGAATCCAAGGAAATAATAATAATAAATCCTGCCATGTATTTTGTCCTTGTGGCATTATTATTCAAGTTTATCAATGGGGACAATTGTAGCAAAAATCAATACTTTCTGTTATATATGTAACGCTTTCGCCTAACAAAACCACAAAAAACCAACAGAATAAATACAACATCTAATCATTCCTTTCACATAATAGACATTGAATATATTAATTATGCAAAATTTTGATTGTCTACACTATCATCGTCTTTTTAACTGAAGTGAATAGATCATTTTCAACAACAACAGCAAAAAATCAATCTACCTTTCTTTCCCTATTTGTCTCGACAATAAAATACACACGAAAAGTATAATGAGACAGAGAGAAGAAAGCTTATCCGACAGAAAATAAATACGCACTAGGAGGATGACAACACAAAAAAGAGGGAGGGAGAGAGAGACAATAATCAATAAATTTGGAATAGATAACTTATTTAGGAGAAAAGTGAAATGAATTCAGACTCAATATATGATTTAACTATTTTTGTAATTTCTCCTTGATAAGTCTAAACTGAATTATTATTACTTTTATTATTATTATTATTATTTTATTCCTTAAGGACCTGAGTGGAATAAAGAGTTTCAACAGCACAGCTCAACTTCATCCTGTTCTCTGCAGCCCTTTTTAGATGGCTCCATAACTGTCCATAAACTTTCATTTCCTCCTCACAGGATCTCCTCCATATCACCCTCGGACACAGGAACAATCAGGTTCCACTCGAGGTTCGATATGACTCATCATAATGTCACTCCGCGGTCACCTCAGCGTATGTCCAATCCATCTGTATCTTCTTCGGCATGTTTGTTGGGTAACATGTTTTTAGTTGACTCGTTTTCACAGTTCTTTGTCGTTAGCTTATGCTTTCTGGCTATCCGATCTTCAGTATACAGCAGTGAAAGCAACTGCTAACAAAAGTCTGAAGGCTGTTCACAGTGTGCTTTCGGTGATGCACACCCCAAGTCTCTCAACTCTATATAGAAGAAGTGACTGACTTGATATTAGTGTGGAAAATTCAAATCTTGTCCTCCGTGTTTAATGTGGTAGGTAGATTTCCACAGATTAATGAAAATCTGTCTTGCTTTTCCGATCCTGTCTGTTTTTTGACATCCCTAGACGTGCCGCCTGTCGTTGAGACGAAGCTGACTAGATAAGTGAAAGTCGTGACTTCCTTGTGGTTGAGGTTCCAGTTAGGTATCTCCTTATCACCTCTGCCTTCTGTATGCCAGCTTGTTGGTTTTCATCTGTAGATCTTCAAGTTTG